TCTGAAAGATGTTTGATTTGAGTCAACTCAAGTATTGATTGTTAAGGTAACTTTGGGTAAATTAAGTTAATTGAACTAATTCCAATCCGGTAATTGAAGTTACTCTCATATGCAGCATTTCTCCAAACTTATTTAAAATGTGTTCACAGAATTTATCTGAATACAGTCACTTAAATGCTTCTTCTTTATACAAATGTTACCACCAAGTTGAATTTACTTAGTTTTATTCCACTAAAGTAAATTATTACATCACCTGTCAAACAGCTGACGGACCATAAAAACCATTGATTATTGATTGATTATCAAAATGGTAGCCAATTAATTTTCAAACATCCAACCTTTCCACTTTGGGCTCATTAAGAATGATTTGGATGCATACTCGGGCTTATGATGATTAATAAAGTGAAATAAAATGCTAAGCTATACAGCATTATAATGCTAACATTGTTATAATGATATAAAGTCAACTTAAAGAACATGAGTCAGTGGAACAAACTGGAATTAAATCAGCTGAACTTAAAATACTGAACACATTTAAGTTCAGAACAACTGATTCAACAGTTCATTGTTGAGTTCATGTGAATGAGTGAATCAGTTTGTGTGGAGGACTCATTCATGTTCACGTTCATTAAGAGGATTCAATCTGATTTAATTGTTACAGTAACAAACAAAAACAATCTCAGGTTGGACGAACGCTGAATCTTCCTCTAATGTCACAAACAGTTCTGCCACTTTGAAACAAACCCGATAAGTGTTCTATAGTTATTGATCTGCTGATGATTACTGATATACTGCTGACTGTGAGGTATTGATAATTTATTGTTGGTAAGTAGAAACTAGTGTTTATGTAATCAATAAAACCGCATTTAAAGCTCCGACAGAATCTACAGCTGGTTGCACAAAGACGACGAAACACAGAAAGCAAAGACAACGGGACTAAAGTACCAATAAATACATAAAGAAACTATAAAGTAAATACAAAAGGATGAATTGTTGAGGAAGAATTTAATCCCACAGCCATATAAATGTATATTTTATCTATAAAATAAATGTATTTTAGTTTTATGTATTTATTTTTTAATGAGTCTTGTTTTGTCCTCCATACTGATCTCGCTATAAGCTTATTTTTAATAACCATTTGTTTATTTTTGTGCAGTTTTTTAATGACTCAGGATTGTGATTGATCTTTGTGCAACCAGTCACTGAAGCACTCTGTTACCCAGCATGCACCCTGACTCCAGCTGACTCACTCTGTAGATATTTTAATGCACGTGCTCTCTGCAGCTCGCAGCAGGCAGTCGCTTCAGACGCAGACGCTAACATTTTATTTGTGTTTGATCACCGTCTTACCAGCTGTTTGTCTGTTTGCTCTCCTCCGCTCTCTCTCTCTCTGCTCTCCTCCGCTCTCTCTCTCTCTCTCTGCTATCCCCCGCTGTCTCTCTCTCTCTCTCTCTCTCTGTGTTTCCTCTCCCCCACTGTCTTTCTCTCTGTTTCCTCTCCTCGCTGTCTCTCTGTTTCTTCTCCTCCTGCTCTCTGTCCTCTCCTCCGCTGTCTCTCTCTGTTTCCTCTCCTCCGCTGTCTCTCTCTTTTTCCTCTCCTCCGCTGTCTTTCTCTGTTTCCTCTCCTCTGCTGTCTCTCTCTTTGCTCTCCCCCGCTGTCTCTCTCTCTTTCTCTCTCTCTCTGTGTCTCCAGAAGAGTTCGGGATCTGAGCTGCAGGAGATTATGAGGAGGCGACAGGAGAAACTGGCAGCCACCACCTGTGATTCAGGGGTGGAGTCTTTTGATGAAGGCAGCACCCACTGAGCTCCACATGACCTCCTCCTCCTCTTCCTCCTCTTCCTCCTCCTTCCTCCCTTCCTCCCTCCCTCCTCCCTTCCTCCCTCCTCC